TATAGTAACTGCATATAGTAACTGCACTATAGTAACTGCATATAGTAACTGCGCTATAGTAACTGCATATAGTAACTGCACTATAACTGCATATAGTAACTGCACTATATAGTAACTCCACTATAGTAGCTGCATATAGTAACTGCACTATAGTAACTGTACTATAGTAACTGCACTATAATAACTGCATATAGTAACTGCACTATAGTAACTGTACTATAGTAACTGCACTATAGTAACTGCATATAGTAACTGCACTATAGTAACTGCATATAGTAACTGCGCTATAGTAACTGCATATAGTAACTGCACTATAACTGCATATAGTAACTGCACTATATAGTAACTCCACTATAGTAGCTGCATATAGTAACTGCACTATAGTAACTGTACTATAGTAACTGCACTATAATAACTGCATATAGTAACTGCACTATAGTAACTGTACTATAGTAACTGCACTATAGTAACTGCATATAGTAACTGCACTATAGTAACTGCATATAGAAACTGCACTATAGTAACTGCATATAGTAACTGCACTGTAGTAACTGCATATAGTAACTGCACTATAGTAACTGCATATAGTAACTGCGCTATAGTAACTGCATATAGTAACTGCACTATAACTGCATATAGTAACTGCACTATATAGTAACTCCACTATAGTAGCTGCATATAGTAACTGCACTATAGTAACTGTACTATAGTAACTGCACTATAATAACTGCATATAGTAACTGCACTATAGTAACTGTACTATAGTAACTGCACTATAGTAACTGCATATAGTAACTGCACTATAGTAACTGCATATAGTTACTGCACTATAGATAGTAAATGATTAAGCATTTGGCATCATCATGATAATAAAATGTTAGCGAGTGAATGTTGCGAGTTATTGATAAACAAGACCACTCGCAATCACGAAATGTATTGTGAATTCCTATCAAATTTTCTGATAGGATTGACATATAGCCATAGTTTTGATTTAAAAATATTTTGACTTCATTGACCGTTTGTGACATAACTATCCCCCTCTCAGACTTTTAAACATCAATTCACTAGTATATAAGACACGCTAACTCGATTCAATCTTCAGGTAACTTTTGTTAGATGAAGGTTTTCATTGTCAATTAAACCTTTCACCCCATTGATGACCCGGACGTGATATGAACTCTCCTACATCTAGAGTAACGCCCACTTGGATGGATGGTTCACATTGAACAGTTGACTTACTCATTGTGACTGCGTCATAGTTCTCTTCACGCGCGGTTGCTTTTCAGTCTCATTTACACACAGCGGGATCCAGCACACATTCCATTGTTAATAGCAACACAGAGAGACCACACACACAACCATGAACTTAATACAGCTCTCACGACAAACGCTCAAAACTCGGAGAACTTAATAATACAGCTCTCACAGCAAGCGTTCAAAAATCCGGTGAATTTAATAGAGCTCTCCCTGTCTTTTGAAAATATGTCAATAATCGGTAAAATTCTGGTGGGGGAGTATTTGTGGCGTAACTACCACTACAATTATTAAACATCAATTCACTAGTATATAAGACATGCTAACTCGATTCAATCTTGAGGTATCTTTTGATAGATGAAGATTGGCATTGTCAATTATGCCGTTCCCCCCAGTCAGTTTCAATTAGTCCTAATAAAAAAAGTTTTCTTTTCATACTTAATTATTTTTTATTCGATACACCAGGTTATCTGAATCCACAACGTGAGCGTGGTTTAGGCGGTATTAGTATTTCAAAGGTTATCAGAAACCACGTGTTTGTTTTATAGTAATGCTTTAAAACATGTAACTATAAAACTCCATTATTTAAAACCAAATGTAATTGAAGTAAAAAAAATAGTATTGTATTGAAAAGTAAAATTAATAAAGAAATGGAACTAATTCATTGAAGATAAGCATAAAAAAATTAACAAATATTTTTTGGCGCTAATGATAGTTAATTTTAGTAATAGTTACTCATTGAAGTAAAATAGTAAGCTATGTACTAAAAGGAAAAATTAATATCGAAGTTTTACAAATTCGTTTAAGATAGCGTAAAAGATCGATACACTAATATTGACGTCAAGGATGCTTAATTATTTTTTGCACGGCATGGTACTTTTATTTATGTTGCACTAGAGCTGCACAATGGGCTATTGGCGACGGTCTGGGAAACATCAATGAGGATGATCCGGCGGCATCATTCATAGGTTACATACCGTTGAACAGGGAGGACGCAATCACACAATTCGTAATTTTGACTGGATCGTAACTTTGACTGGACCAGTGCAAGATCAATCTCAGATCCAATACCCCCAGAGGTTTTGATTTGTTATTGGAACTTAGAAGACTTTGTGACCCCGACAAATTTAGCACGCATCAGTCTCCATTTCGAACGTGGGGTATTAATTTCGGTAATAGCTACAATTGAAATATAAATAAGCTTTGAACTATAAGAAAATTAATTGAGAAAATTTACTTTTTGTATACAGCAAGAAGTACTATAAAATGTATTATGAGAAGTCGCCATACTATTATTGACATCAATGATGGTTAATTTTTGATGGATAGGCACTACTAGCCTATTACTACTATTTCTATCACCGACTGCGCAGTGTAATTTTTTGAGCTACTATTATTACTTTTATTTGAGTTTTGAACTGAATAGTTATTGAACTAAATTAAATTTAGACGAAAATACGATTTTTAAACAATGATCACAAATTAATATTAATCATTCTCAGACAAATTTGTATCAAGAACAATCACAACAAATATGTAATTAAATAATACAAATAAGTTTATATAAAGAATGAAATCGAAATTAAATGAAAAACGATTATTAGAAATAAGAAACATGAATATAATACTAGATTTGTTAGAATGTTGACATTAGCCTTTCCTTTCTTTTTTAATTTCAATATTAGAAACCAATTCCGGAACATGCTCTCAGAGAATTTCCATAAAAGCAATATACACAAAACCTGGTTTAACCATATTTTAACTATCCCAAATCATCCCAGGTTTAAGGCAGTTGCTCTCTTTAGATTTGTAACTGGCCATGACTGTCTGGCCAAACACCTTTTTAGTATAAACAGTTTTGACTGTCCTAAATTCAAGCTCTGTCGCCTTGGGGAGGACATGGACCTGCTCCATATTTCCGTCTGTCCTGCGCTCATCTCCACTACTGTGTGTGGACGCAACTGGGAGGCTAGGGCCCGTATGGGCTAAGCATGTCACTATGCATTCTATTCCATTTATCTCTTTTTGCCTTGTTTTTCTTGTTATTTTATCCTTTTTGTTCTTTTAAATTGGCCTGCATTGGAAATAAATAAAAATAAAAATATTAGTTCGGGAACTCAAACCCGTAGGTTCAGGTAATTACATTTTAGACAAGGATTCTAAAAATGTGCAGGAAGTATAGCGATTACCGGCCACCTTGTGTTTGTTTATAAATCCTCATTTCCACATAACAACCAAAATGTAAGAAACATTCTACTCACCTGATTCAATCGCAGAATTTAGTTACTTTTAAATTCCCAAAGTCAAAACTCAAATTCTTTCCTGTGTTTCTTTTTTAAAGACAACTTTCTTGTTTATTTTTAGTTGCGGGAAATAACAATAAAAAATACTAAAAAGGAAGGACAAATAAAAGAATGAAATGAAAAACCC